TGTCTAGGTTTTGAAACTGCTCCAAACTCAATTTGCTTCTCCAAATTCCAATTGCGTCAATGTATCACCTTCATTTCTCATATTTTCTCCACTTTCTATAATTTTGCCCTAGGTCATGTCAAAAGGTCTTGTATGGTCTAATAAAGAACCATTATCTCCACAAGTTACACTCGGATATCTAGCTCATAACATATGCCCTTTATTTTTTTTGGGGTAAAATACACTTTAGCCCCCAGTGATTTAGTGCTTTGTAACATAACCTCCATATGTTTTCAAAAATTATACATAAATCCCCCATGATTTGGATTAAAATATCAAAATAACAAAATTTGCATTCCATAATAAAGTCAACTAAAATGTCAAAAGTACTCGTATATAAAGTTGAAAATTATTTATTAGTCACCGAAGGGGTTATATAAAGCACTACACCATAGGGGTGTGCATTCGGTGCAAATTCGGTAATTCGGTGCACTGAATTCGGTTATTCTACATGTAAAAATTTAAACCGTTTTCAATTCCGAATTGAGCATAACCGAATTCATTCCGCAACCGATTTCAAATTCGAAAACGGTAATGAATTCGGTTAAACCGAATTCATCTATTTTAAAAAAAAGATAATAATACCCTGTTATCAGCTTAAGTTTGCAACGCTGCTTCCGTACAACTTACAGGCTATGAGGCTAATTGCAAACTAATTCTAATTGCAAACTTACAGGCTACAAGCCTACAACACCAATCCAAAGGAAATCAACATCCAAATTATTACACACACATTACAAATGCCAAAATCCATCAAATACAAATCTGGAGTACCAAGTACCAACTACCAATATACAATACAACTACAAGTTATTCAAAGTAACACTAACACACACTTTTCAAGTTCACATTTCACAAGTCACAATGAACTGAATGCAGAAACCAGAAATCAGAAATCATTCAAATTGAAAAGAATACATAATGGCAAATTGTCTTGAAAATTCAAATTACAAATGGCTATTATGGCTTAGATAACAGAAACTCAGTCAAAATCTGAAAACTGACTGCAACATAATTTAGTTCCAGACTTCCATTATCTTTAAAGAGTTATTGAAGTTTGCAATTGGAAGCTCAGATTTCGTCCCCTTATCAATTCAGGATAACAAATTTCCAAGTCGATCTTGGCCATTTTACTGCCAGAGATGAGCACTTACCTAAGTGAGCCAGAGATGAGCAGTGATTGGTGCTTCGGCTTTGGCACTCAACAGCGATGAACCAGCACGGCAGGGATGAACTGGTGAAGTGAGAAATTCGGTCGAATGAGGACTGAGATGGAGACAGGAGAGACGTAGAGTGCGGCGGAGAGCAGCTTCGATTTGGGAATTGGGACTTGGGAGTGAAGCTGTGAAAGCCCTAAGTGAAGGCACTACCGCACTAGGCAGTGATTGTTCAAATTATCAGCTGAAATCTGACTTTTCCCAAATTCATCCGAAGTGATTGTATAATTTTTAATTTATAAATTGGGGCTCCTAAATTATAATACATTCATTAGGCTCCTCAATGATTTATAAATTATTACTGATTTGATCTCCAAATTTATTCATAATTGAATACATTACTTATGTTCTAATCATTTTGTGGTTTAATTGGCATTTATTTGGTCACTTATACCTAGAATCCTTAGTCTATGATGTAAGAAACACATAAAAAGTGATTAATTTAAACTAGAATAAACTTTAGACTATACAATGATTGGTGATAATTTATGAATTTATAATTTACAATGATTAATAATAAGCAATATTAGTTAGTAGTTACAATGAATTTATAATTTACACTGATTAATAATAAGTAATATTAGTTACAAACTTACAAATTACAATGATTAATGATAAGTTATATTAGTTACAAACTTATAATTTATTTCAAATCAAAATAAAAACTTATTTACTTACACGTGTTATTGTGAAAGTCAATATACTAATACATTGTTTTGCAATTCACATACATTCACTTACAGTCTTACACTGCTTAGTTGTCTTGTCTATACTTAAAGCCTTAAGATTAGTAAACAGATAATATGAATTTTAACTTATTTGATAACTTATGCCTAAAATCATTAGTCTATGATTTAAGGAACACATAAAAAGTGATTAATTTAAACTAGAATAAACTTTAGACTGTACAATGATTAGTGATAATTTATGAATTTATAATTTACAATGATTAATAATAAGTAATATTAGTTACAAACTTACAAATTACAATGAGTAGTGATAAGTTATATTACTTACAAACTTATAATTTATTTCAAATCAAAATAAAACTCATTTACTTACATATATTATTGTGAAAGTCAATACACTAGTACATTGATTTGCAATTCATAAGCATTCACTTACACTGCTAACTACTTAGTTGTCTTATCTATATTTAAAGTCTTAAGAATTAAGATTAGTGAATAGATAATATGAATTTTTATGTTAAATATGTAAAGTACACTAATACTTGCAAGTTAGAGATTACGCATTCAAATATTCAATAATTCAAACATGAATGATGTATCAAATTACCATTATCTAAATTTAATTACTAATTATGTTTATTGTTTAATATTTAGTGTTGTACATATATGTGTTAATTATTATCTAATTCTAGTCATATTACTCATGTATAAAATAATAAGGATTATAGTTATCTTATATTGTTATGTATTACTATATATTTGTATTATTATAGTCATATAAGTATATAACAATTAACAAATACTAAAATAATATATTGTACATTATTATATATTATTATTATTATAAGTACATGATATGATGATAAATTGATAATACCATATACTAATTATTATTAATAGCATTTACCTATATAATATAATAAAGTATTAGTAGTATATACTAATACTAAATAGCATTTATCTATATATTCTATAATTTTATATACCAAATTGGTAATTCGAATGCGGTAATGCGGTACCCGATTTCAATTACCGAATTTGAATGTGAAATCGGTTATTACCTAATTCATAATCTTATTACCTATTTCATACCATATTAGAATTCGGTGAATTTGGTACGTACCGAATTTGTACCAAATTACCAAATACCCGATTTCAAATTATCGAATTGAATTTGAAATCGGTTATGAATTCGGTAAGAACTGAATTTGCTCACCCCTACTACACCATAAAGAGGTTATATGGTAAAATATAAAATCATACAAGGTTGGAGTATCATACATATTATGTTTATATATTTTGATCACTTCAGTCATTTTAATTTTTAAACAAGGGTAATTTCAACATTTTTATGGATTCTGTTCCAAATGATCATTTCCATTGATTTGACACTTTAATCAAAATTATGAGAGGTTATATATAATTTTTGAAATTATAGGAAATTATGTGAAAAATCCGCAAACCATAGGAGGGTAAAGTGTATCTTGCCCTTATTTTTCGGCCCCACAATTCTTGTAGGCTCTCACCCCCAATGCTTTTAAACAAAGCAAAATTGGTTCAAATATAGGCACACAGGGACAAGATAGGAAGTCTAAAACAATTGCTTTGTAAAAGAGGTTAGGAAAAACGGATTTGGATTTTAAAGCAAAAGAGGTCAAGGTTATTTTCATAGAGGGCAAATATGACTCCTTAGCTCTTACTGAAAGCCTAAATAACATTCTAAAGTGATGTAGGTTAAATTGGGCTTAATTGAGAAAAGGAAGAGACGCAAGTTTGGTTTCTTATGTTTGCCTTATGTACTAAACTAGTCCCCAATATTTGAAACAATTGAAGTGTAGTCTCAAAAGCTGCTATTTATTGGCATTTTTGGACAATTAACAGAAATTCAACAATGGTTGATTGTCAAAAGTAAATTGGCGTCAATCAATAGTTTTGAGTTTACACTTTGGATCTCCAATATTTGAACTTTGAATCATTATAGTTCCTTAAGTTCTACATACTGGTATTGATGTTTTAGAATGAAATGAGATGTGAATTGGATCAAAATTTTGTTAGATATGTACTAGAATTTCTAATGAAAAAATGCATGGAAAATTTATTAAACTTCATTTTTTTTTTGTTTTCATTTCATATTTTCATGCCACTACTTATGCATATGCTTTTTCTCTATTGCATAGTTGGTTTCAAAATTGGCATAAGGTATGCGGTATGCATCTGTTGTTTTGCACGATGAAATTATTAATTGATGATGAGATGTATCATTTGTTCACTTATGTTGATCCTTAAATTCTCAATTAAACACTCTTTTAGAATATGAAGAATATATACTATATTCAAATTAAGTTGATCATATTTTCTTTTCTTTTCCTTTTTTCATTTGAATGTGCTATCAGTTAAGTTTAAAATGAAGCGGATATTTTTTAGAAGCATTTTAATTGTTTAATAAAATTGTCAGTGTATAAAAAGATGAAAGTTAATGTTTTAAAACTATCCTATTGGAATGTCTTATTTTAATAGGTAGGAAAGGCAAGAAAAAACAAAATGAAAAAACTATCCTATTGATGCAGTTGAAACCACTTGTGATTCTAAGAATTGACCCCTAAAAGTGAAGCACCAAACCAAACTTGTGATTCATATCCATTCTGCAATCATAGAGAACCCCTCTTGACCTGCTTCGGTAACAAAACGCAGAACGAATACACTACTGTGTTTCTTGGGACGGATCAAATTGGGCCTTGCAAGTTTTTGGACCATGAATCCCAAAGTTGTTGGGTAAATCAAGCAATTGGGCCATGCAAGTTTTTTTTTTTTTTTTTTTTAAATTTACATTGTGGAACCTTGACATGTGAACCACATGGGAATAATATTATGGCCGCATCTCAGACCACTTTACTCCAAGTTACATCATATCTTTAGTCAGAAACAAGATAGACAAAAAGAAAGAAAAAAGTGCAGAAGAGGTAAGAATGAGAATCACTTAAATAGAGAGTAAGAATATTGTTAATTTCATTTTTGGCCAAAGAATGTTTTGTGCATCTAGTCGTAATAGAATGACTGTATTAGTTTCACTTTCTCTGTTACAAAAGATTACGGCTAAAGGATGACGAAAACTTCAGGTTATTCTGGTTCCCATATTTAATTGTGCATATGTGCTCATTACAACATTTTATTGACTTATTGTTAGTACAAAAGCCATGCTGTTCCTTTTTTTTTTTTTTTCCAATTTCATTGGAAAATCTTATAACGCTCTCAGTGATGATCCTTTTGTTCATAATTTTGAGCATTCAAATTCCCCTAATTGGACTTTGTGTGGTGGAGATAGAAGATGGTAGAAATCTTGAAAATGTGATAAGTCATGCGGATGAACAATGTTATTATGGTCTTTTGCGTTGTATATATTCACAAGTATTGGTTTAATGTATATATAGCGTCTTTTACAATAATACTAAACAATATGTTTAGACCCGAATCAATGAACGAATCAAATGAGCTTTTAGTTTGATTGAGTCAAAGATACAGTTTTTTAATTCACATAGAAAATCTGAATAATACTATGAAAAAAATTTCTAGTAAATAACTGGCCGGTTCAACCATGTAGGCTGTTTTGACCAATTTGGACGGGTTATTTATTTTTCATTGTACTCTAATGTAAAATTGGAGAAAGTTTTATGGCCGGTTTCCTTTTCAACCGGTCGAACCAGCCAAATGGGCACGATCTAGCACTGGTGCTGGCAATTTTTGAGTCCCAATCCGTTACATTTTGAGCCATCAATATTGCTGCAAGGCAGCCTTCACTGTTAGTTTGATTTTGAGTCCAATGAGCAGTTGAAAGGACTATCAGTTAATCTCACAGCTCTTTCTGATTATGCATCTAAGCAGGAGATGAGAGAATTGGTAGAGCAGCAATCGGAATTGTTCCTGAGGAGCTCACTGAGGAGAACTATGAGGAATGGAAAAGATGCTTGGAACATTATTTGGTTGGTCATGGCCTTTGGGGTGTTGTTTCTGGAGAGGAGCAAGATCCTATAAACGATGAGAGACAAGAATATGGAGAAGAAAAGAAACAAGAACATGAGGAATGGAAGAAGAAGAATGCATTGGCCTTGCATGCCATCCAACTTTCGTGTGGACCAGGCACATTTGTTAAACTTAAGGAAGCTCACACTTCTGCCGAAGTTGCATGGAAGCATTTGGTAGAAAAACTGAAGCCCCACAGAATATGGGCGGAAGATGAAAGCAGCCGTGTTGAAGAAGAAGGTAACTCTCGATCATGTTGCTATGAAATGTTTACGGTTTCACATATAATTTTAGAAGTCAATTCGATAAGTATTTTGAAGGACACTATGGTTCATTCGATCAGTATTTTGAATCATGTGGTATCAGGAGCAAAGTTATGATTCAGCAATTGCAGGTTTTCTTTATGTTTTTACTTATTCCATTTGATTAGTTTTCTTTTGCTCATTTAGCAAGCAATTCTTCACTAGGGAATTTTGCTGTACGTTACTTCAAATAAAACTCCAATTCATCTGTGCTAGCTCTGCTGTGCCAAACAATGGCGGAGACTTGAGAGTTGGGAGGCCTAATTTTCCAAAAGAGTGCTTAGAATATATCTTCCACATCTGGAATTTTCATTTAGTCATTGCTTAATATCCAATGACAATATTATTGCTCTTTTTCTGTTTCTCTGGACTTCTTGAAAAGTTTATACTCATTCAGATTTCAATTGTTCCTTCTGCGAGCTCATTAATTATGATAGATGACCATATTAGAGATATTATTCGAAACAAATTCTAATGTTTACAGGACCAAAAGAGTGTTAGTAAAATAATAAAATAGGCTGATACAAAAGAGAAGAATAAATACAACCTAGAGAGAAAGTAATAATCGAAAATAACAATAATAATAATCCGAGGTTTGTGAGCACAATTTCCTTAAAACAGATTCGCCCCCTCCAGGTAGAGTGCTCGAGGATACAACGGATTAAAGGCGTCTGTCTCCCAGGATACAACGGATTAAAGGTGAATATGTCAGCACCAAACTTTCTTCACCACAGCGAACTCGAACTAGAGTAATATGGAACACTATAAAAGATGAAGATGCAAGAAGGAAAAAGAGAGAGAGAGCGCGCCTTCTTTTGAAACAAAAAGAGATATTTATAGATGTTGGCTAAGGGTGACTGTTAGAAATTGGCAACAAGTATTAAATTTCAGATAATTATCTTCACGTTTGTCAAAGGACCACATTCATGTACATACATGTATCTCAATAAGATAACTCCAAAATCATGTATTAAGTACATGTATCCTATCCAAAATCATGTATCAATAATTAATACACATGAATCCTATATACATGAATGAGTGATAGATAATTATCCTGGATTCTTTCAAGAGTGCCATTATGAGAACAAATTTTCTCATTCACTCTACAATGGATATAGCCATTTTTCCAACAATTCCCTACATGAATGGAAAAATTGTTTTGATTTGACTCTACAGTAGTGTTCCACGACTGAAATCTGCATAAGATAGGTTGGTGTTACCCATTGAACCTTCTCTTGTGAAATAAACTTACTTTACTAGCAATCCAGTAGACATGATGTCTTTGAACTGTCTCGCTTTTTAGTGTAAATGAATCATATATTTCACACAGGAATTATGCTCCATTTATTCAGTTCTCATAGTTATATTCGTTTTGGCCATGAACATCAACCTGGTTCAGCAAGAGTTTTTAAGAATTGAGCCCTAAACAATTCTCTTTTGAAGCGGCCCCACTTCACTCTCACATAGGTGATTTACTTAAGTCTTCAGTAATAAATTACTTCACTTAAGAATCATTAAAGCACACCATTGTGCTATCCTTAATTCTCCTTTGCATCATTGTTTCATTATGGAATGGGTCTAGGGGTATCCCCCCACAATGACTGCGCTAAGACCTTATAATTAAGTTGTCCCTTTGAACCTAGATCTTGGGATATCCAGTCAGTTAGGTTGGGTTTCCTTTATAACACTTAGCCTTCCATGGACTTTAGTCCCATTCCCTTTGCCATTTTTGCAACCAACTCTCTATTCAATCCTTTGGTTAGCGGATCCGCTATGTTATCCTTTGATTTCACATAATCAATAGAGATAACTCCTGTTGAGAGTAGTTGTCTAATGGTATTATGCCTACGACGTATATGTCTAGACTTACCATTATATATGTTATTCTGTGCTCTTCCAATTGCTGATTGACTATCACAGTGAATATATATTGGTGGCACAGTTTTTCCCATTTTGGAATGTCTTCAAGGAAATGGTGGAGCCATTCAGCTTCTTCTCCACATTTGTCCAAGGCAATGAACTCAGATTCCATTGTAGATCTAGCTACAATAGTTTGTTTAGAAGACTTCCAGGATACTGCCCCACCAGCAAGTGTGAACACATACCCACTTGTGGACTTTGAATCTTTTATATCAGATATCCAATTTGCATCAGCATACCCTTCTAAAACAACAGGGTATCTAGTGTAATGCAGTCCAAAGTTCCGAGTGTACAGTAGGTATTTGAGTACCCTTAAAATTGCTTTCCAATGATCAGCACTCGGATTGCTTGTAAATCTGCTCAATTTGCTTACTGCATATGCAATGTCAGGTCTAGTACAACTCATTAAATACATTAGACTGCCAATGATTCTTGAGTATTCTACTTGAGAAATACTCTCTCATCTATTCTTAGATAGATGGAAACTATTGTCTAATGGAGTTCTTGCAATTCCAGAATCATTCTGATTTAATTTTTCTAGAATCTTGTCCACATAATGAGTTTGGCTCAAGACCAACCCGTCTGATATTCTTGTAATTTTAACTCCTAAAATTACATCAGCGAGCCCCATATCTTTCATGTCAAATTTTGAATTCAACATGTCCTTGGTAGACTTAACCATTTTGTCATTACTACCAACAATAAGTATGTCATCTACATAAAGACATAAGATGACATAGCCATGTTCTGTTTCTTTAGTGTAGACACATTTGTCACACACATTTATTTTGTATCCATTAGTTATCATTACATTGTCGAACTTTTCATGCCATTTCTTTGGCGCTTGTTTTAGTCCATATAATGATTTGACTAATTTACAAACTTTATTTCCTTTTTCCGGAGTTATGAAACCCTCAGGTTGCTCCATGTAGATTTCTTCATCTAAATCACCATTTAAGAAAGCCGTCTTTACATCCATTTGATGTATCTCCAGTTTTCTCAATGCAACGATAGCAAGAATTATTCTGATAGAATTTATTCTCGTAACAGGAGAATAAGTATCAAAATAATCCAAACCTTCTTGTTGCTTGTATCCTTTGATTACAAGTCTGGCTTTGTACTTATCGACAGAGCCATCAGGTTTTATTTTCCTTTTAAAGATCCATTTGGACCCTAAAGGTCTACAACCAGGAGGAAGATCCACTAACTCCCATGTATGATTCTGTAAGATAGAATCAACCTCACTTTTTATTGCTTCTTTCCATAAAAATCCTTCAGAAGAACTTACAGCTTCTGTATAGGTTTGTGGTTCCTTTTCTAATAGAAAAGTTGTAAAATCATCTCCAAATGATTTTCCACTCTAGCCTTTTTGCTACGTCTCGGTTCATCTTGTTGAATCAAGTCATGATCATGTTTTTCTTGATTCATAACTTCATGTGTTCGTTTTGATGAACTTGATGCACCATTCGATTTACAAGGAAACACATCTTCAAAGAATGAAGCATTCCTTGATTCCATTATCGTATTTTTGTGTATATCCGAAATTTCTGAATTATACACAAGAAATCGATAAGCAGCACTATTATGTGCATAGCCTATAAAGATACAGTCCACAGTTCTAGGACCTATCTTTATTCTCTTTGGTGCTGGAATAGCCACTTTTGCAAGACACCCCCACACTTTCAAGAATTTGTAGGATGGTCTCCTACCTTTCCATAACTCATAAGGAGTTTTATCTTGTTTTTTTCAGGGTACCCTATTTAAAAGGTAATTGCTTGACAAAATAGCTTCACCCCACATATTTTGTGGCAATCCTGAACTTAGTAACATCGCATTCATCATTTCTTTTAGTGTGCGATTTTTCCGTTCAGCAACACCATTCGATTGTGATGAGTAAGGTGCAGTTACTTCATGAACAATTCCATATTTTGCACAATAATCACCAATAGGTGTTTCATATTTACCACCTCTATCACTTCTTAACCTTTGAATTCTCCGGTTAAGTTGATTTTCAACTTCATTCTTGTAGAGAATGAATTTTTCCAAGGCTTCATCTTTACTTTTGAGTAAATACACATAACAGTATTTTGTGCAATCATCAATGAAAGTGATAAAATATTTATTACCACCTCTTGTTTGAACAAATTTCAAATCACAGACATCTGTGTGAATCAATTCAAGGTTCGGTGTTTCTTTCAATTGTTTGAAAAGATGACCTGGTTAATTTTGCCTCTACGTAAATCTCGCATTTATGGTTTGAATTGATGTGAAAGGAAGGAATATGATCCAAGTTAATTAGTCTACGCAAAGTATCATAATTAACATGACCTAGTCTACCATGCCATAAATTGGAAGACTCAAGCAAATAAGCAGAAGACTTATTCTTATTATTCACAATGGTCATTACATTCAATTTGAACAACCCATTGGTTGTATATCCTTTTCCTACATACATCCCAGATTTGGATAATATAACTTTATCCGATTCAAAAACCATGCGAAAGCCATGCTTGTTCAGCAATGATCCAGAAACAAGGTTCTTGCGGATTTCTGGCACATACAGGACATCGTTCAAAGTCAATGTTTTGCCAGAAGTCATCTTTAGCAACACCTTCCCTTGACCTTCAATAGCAGATGAGGCAGAGTTCCCCATGAACATTTTTTCACCTTCAACTTTTTCGAAGGTAGTAAACAAGTCTTTGTTTGTGCAAACATGTCTTGTAGCTCCAGTGTCAATCCACCATTCTTTCGGATTTGACCTTATCATATTTACTTCAGAAACCATAGCAGTCAGGTTCATGTTTTCCATGTCTCCCTCGATTCTATCAAGCAAGTTTGCTTCATGCTTCTTCTTCTTTGGAAGCTTACATTCAGTGGACTTGTGACCTTTTTTGTCACAGTTGAAGCACTTCCCTTGGAATTTCTGCTTAGAGATTTTCCCTTTTACCCCAAGATTTCGAGTTGGCTTTTTGCCTTTGGAGTTTTGCCCTTGATTATACTCCACAATATTTGCTTTAGCATCAACAGAAGTTGTTGCCTTGCAATCAGAACCCCTGTTGTCTTCTTCAATTCGAAGTCTAACGATAAGGTCCTCCATACTCATCTCTTTGCGCTTGTGCTTGAGATAGTTCTTGAAATCCTTCCACCCAGGAGGTAGCTTCTCAATAACAGCAGCTACTTGAAAGG